TCATCAAGTGAGCGCAAGTAAAAGAAGATAACGCGAACCGGTTTTGCTAGACACTTTTTCCCCAACTTTCCACCAAAATAAAATTAAAGTCAGTGTTTTCAATTTATCATCAGTATAAAAATTCTTTACGGTTTAAATTCATTGCACACATTTGCCTTCACACCGGAGGAATAAAAAGGTACACATCATCATCATCATCACCGTCATCAGCTTAATCAATGCAAGACTAACAAAGTAAAAAGGGGTGTAAAATCAAGCAGTTAAAATAGAACCCCAAACATCGGGGAATCTAGAAGGGAATCGCAAAGGGGTAGTACTTGTGGCCGGTGACGTTCGGCCCGTTGGCGGCCAGGTTGATCAGCCGACCGGTGCCGTTGGGCTTGTCAAAGGCCTCGATGGTGGCCATCTCTTCGGGGGTCAGCTCAAAGTCAAAGACGGCGATGTTTGCGGCGATGCGCGCCGGAGTGACCGACTTGGGGATGACCACCACGCCGCGCTGCACCTGAAAGCGAATCAGCACCTGGGCGGCGGACTTGCCGTGCTTCTCGGCGATCGCCTTCAGGCGAGGCTCGTCGAGGAGGCTNTGGGCGACGGACTTGCCGTGCTTCTCGGCGATCGCCTTCAGGCGAGGCTCGTCGAGGAGGCTGGGGTCGCCGGGCTTGGCCCAGGGACGGTCCGGCGAGCCCAGCGGGCTGTAGGCTGTGGTAAAGAAGAACAAAGGGTTAGCAAAATAGAACCCAAACACCAGAGATCATCATCTTACCGGTGACGACGATGTCCTTGCTGCGGCAGAAGTCAATCAGCCGACGCTGGTTGAGATAGGGGTGGCACTCCACCTGGTTGACCACCGGCTTCACCCCCTTCGCCTCCTTCAGCACGGCGGTGATCTGCTCCGAGTTGAAGTTGGAGAGGCCGATGTTCTTCGCCTTGCCCGCCGCGTGCACGTCCTCCATGCCCGCCCAGGTCTCGAGGTAGTCGATCTCAGAGACGAGCACCTCGCCCTTCTCATTTCGGGGAAAGGTGACGTCGCCCTCCTGGTAGCCGAGTGGCCAGTGAATTAGGTAGAGGTCGACGTAGTCCAGCTGAAGAGCGGCCAGCGTCTTCTCCAGACAGAGCGGCACTCGTTCGCGCTTGTGGTAGGTGTTCCACAGCTTCGAGGTGATGAAGAGCTCTTCGCGGCGGACCTTGCCGGAGGAGAGCGCCTCTGAGAGGGCCTTGCCCACCTCTGCTTCGTTGCCGTAGGCTGCAGAGAGAGAAAGGGAGAAATAGAAATTGCGGTCAACTTCGAAATAGCAGTTCTTCAAATAGCACTTACCAAAGGCGCAGTCAATGTGCCGGTAGCCAATGTCGAGGGCGGCCTTCACCGCCTCGTAGACGGCGCCCGGGGCCGACTTCCAGGTGCCCAGGCCGACCAGGGGCATCTGCGTGCCGCTGGCAAGGGTGATCGTCTTCGAGAGGGTCATTGTGGTGTGAAGGTGGCTGGTTTCGAAGTTGGCTTTTAATGAAATGCGCAGAGTCGGGTTGACTTGTCGAGTGGAGTAGGAGAGAGAGTCTTGTCAGCAAACGTCTGACAGCTTTTTCTTCTTCTTGTGGTGGTGGTTGCCAAAGTGACGTCGTACAATCAGCCAAGTGCTGGTGAAGTTGCCTGGCAGAAGCCACTAATCGCCAAACACGCCACCTAAATAAGGGAAAAAGAAGATAGGGCGACTTGAAGTGAGCGAAAGTCGAGCAGTGGTAATCAGCAGCAACAGCAACAACAACAACTTCAGAGTCAGTCAGCCAGCCAAAAGTTGCCTAGTGATAGTGGAGCTTTATTTAGCGCTGAAGTGAAGTGATCTGGTGGTGACGATTAGTAGCAGAGCTTATCAGGCTTATCAACCAGCTAGCCAGGCAGTGGAAAGTTTTGACAGTGACAGTGTTGAGAGCGCTCAAGAGTCGTTTCTGAACTTTGACACCCTTTTATGCCGGATGAGGAGGAGGATGAATGACCTTATCAGGTTTCACAGTCAAGTCGACTGTACAGAAAAAGAAGTGTACAAAAGTGGAGAAGGATGACAGGCACTGAAGATGACTGCTTTGAAGCGCTCAAAACAGCAAATCGGAACTTCGAACTTTTTGTTTAGAAAACTAAATTACTCAAAAAAGTTCACAAACAGGTGGTCTCAACAGCTGGAAAAGGAATGACTGTA